GTGAGGCATCAGGAAAGAATGATGGATGTAAAATTATTACAGGGCTGCCACCCGATACACTTAGTGCCATTTGTAACTAACACTGGAACTGACACACTTTTTTCATTATTAAACATCCACATTAAGTCAACATTGGTCACTGTCATTTCATGTTTGGCACTCTGTTAAAGGGAAGAGAGAGAAGGGGGGGTAGGGTGGGAGTGAGGAGGATGATGGGAGATGGGGTGGGTGGAAATGAGAGGAAAGGCATCCTGGACCTAGTGTTCCAAAAGCATGAGTAATAAAACAGGCTTCTGCTTACAATGCTGGAATAAATATTGTTACAAATAGCTCTTTAGTTACAACCCAGCAGACAAGTACATGTCAGAGCCTTTTAGAAGAGGGATGTGCTCTCAGCAATAAGTGAGGGAACTGGTATCATAGGTTAAGAAACACTTATGGTTGGTCGGTGCATGTGTGTGTGTGTGTGCTGCTTGTGTATTTATAGGTGTGCACAGCACTCAGATATTAGTATGTCTATTTGATGGCGCATACCTGAACACACATGAATTTGTATTTGTGGAGCTGTTTCCATGCACTCCTCTGTGTGTGTGTGTGTGTGTGTGTGTGTGTGTGTGTGTGTGTTTACAGATATGTGAGTATGTACATGTGTGTTTACTTGTTTATAGGTTCTGAGTGTATATACAAATTTCTGGCTAGCTTTTTTGTGGTGGAGCATACGCATCTGTTGTATGCACACACGTGTTATGTATTTGTATATGAGTGCATTGTGTGTTTGTATGCATGCACACATACACCAGTACCTGTGGTTGCGTACCTTCAATGTGTAGAAGAATGTGCAGTTTTTTGGCTGAATAAGTAGATTATAGTCCACTTTCTGATGCTGCCCACTGCAGTGTTTGCTCTGGATGAAAATCTGCACTCTTAGAGCTACATTTATAAAAGGTAATATTGTTTATGTAGAGTAAGTATCAAGCTATAATTAACTGTAGATCACAATTATAAATAAAACTATGTTCCTGGGTTTCTAAGAAACCAGAAACACACACACACACACACACACACACTTCTGATTTATCTTGAAGCATTTCCAAGAAAAGAATTTTAAAAATATATTTTATTGCATTCCCAATTAAAATAAGTAAAATCTACATTCATTATGTAGATTTTACTAACACCCTCTGAAATTAAAGTACTCAAAGTGTTGGGTGCCCACAAATCAAGGCATCCAAAAATCCTAGTCACTTTTGAATCTTTTTTCCTGCTTATGCCTCCTCTAGCACAATGCCTATCCAATCCCACACAATTTCTCTCTGTCTGACTCCTGCCTTACAACTGAGAGCACTGCCCATCTACAGAGACCCATCCCAGCTGGGAACATGAAAACTAGCCACTGGGTCAGGTGAATATATGGAAAACAGCCTCTGAGGCTTTAGGAGGCACATTCATAAAAGGGATTTCCTGCCCCTGTGCCTTTCCAGCCACACCCAGCAGACAGATCCTTAACAGTACTCGTGACTTTGGGCAGTTCAGAAATGCAGACCCAGGCATTGGTGGGTGGGATTACTCTTCATGCAATAAAAAGGTTCAACCTGCCCCAGAAATATCTCCATAACTATACCGACAACACTGGGAAAGAAGGGACTCAAACTCTGGACTGCACCATGGCACAGTGTGCCTGGCCCATAAAGATTAGTAACATTCCAGCGAGAATGAAGTGATTCAGGATCATCTTGCTCTCCAGCACATGGCATATACAGCTATGTATCAGTATACATGTGTGCAAGCACCGTAACCAATCATTAATGCGCTGATTGCAATGCCTCTGTAGCTATCCCGTTCCCACCTGTTCTGCAGGGAGCGAGGGACAAAAGCAGGAAACCCAAAGGCCTGGCAGTTTGGTGTGTTTGCCTCTTAAATCACTGGGCTGGCTCTTAAGCTTGTTGATGTAAACCCTTAGAGACCAATCTATAATGTTCTCAATTTCTCTCTTCCCACTACCTTTCTCTCTTTCTCTTCCATGAAAAAGGAAAGAAAAATCTTAGGAATATAATTTAACTGAAACTGGCAATACTTTCCTTTTTTTTCAAATGCCAGGGGGAGGTCTTGATAAAAGCTTTAAGCAAAAACCTAGACCCAAACACCCTCAAACTTTGGAGAAGTTCAGATCCTGAATTGGATCAGAACTTCCCGTCTGGCTATAATTAGATGAGAAGACCCAGAATGTATGGAAAGTTCAGCTAGGTTTCCAAACGTCACAGCCACCTCCCTTTCTTTCTGCTGGGTCAATCCAACCCCCCCCACCCCCCCAATAAATCTCTGTCAACTCTGAGATCCTGCACGTCCAAAGGAAATTTCACAATTAGCCCCTATCAGTATAATGGGTCAAACCAGCAATCCAGATCCAAACACCATTGCACTTTCGTAGAGTTCCGATTTGGATCTAACCTTTGTGTCTTCTTCAGAATGAAATCCTGAAAAAGTTTGGCAGCTATTGTATCAAAAAAGCTATTGCCACTTTAGAAAAGAAAAACTGACCCCCGCCCAACTCTGCAAATGCAATACCTTCCACTCATGCACACCCAAGCCAAACAGGGAACATGAACTAGAGAGCAAAATAAACCCCAGAGCTTGCGGTGAGGGTGAGAAGTGAAAACAGAAGGGCAAGGAGGAGCCTAACAATAGGAAAGTAACAGAATAAAGCGAATGCAGATGGTTCCACTCCTGTTACTTAATCAAAAGGCTGTGCAAAGTCACTAGAGCCGGCATAAAGTCATGTGTTAGAACAACAGCTGATCTGTGTATTAAAGAAGATTAACTCGCAGTGCCATGGTGGAGGGCCTGGGATTATTTTATGTACTTCCATTGCTGTACAAGCCGTCAGCACAATTACTGCCCTCCGATGTGAATGACTGATCTGTAACCACAGCTAAACAGCATGCTGCTTAGGGGCCTGGGTGCTTCATGAAGATGAATTTCCATACCATCAAAGTGCTTTTAATGGGCTCCCTGATCCAACCACAAGGCCTGCTTTGCAAGTATATAGGACTCAGGATGAAGGCTTCCTGTCCAAAAGGATTTGGTCGGTTGTCACTTGACAATTCCCAGCCAGCACAGGGGAGGAGAGGGGGGAGATAGGTAGAGTTGTCTCTGCTTTGGAGGATTAAAAAAAAAAAAAGGGTACAGATGCTTTCTGAATGCAACCAACTGCTGTATCCACAGCTGAATTCAATGCGCTTAACAAATAACGGCAATTTAGCTATGCTTGCGAGGAATAGCTTGAGTCACTTTGCATTAGCATCTGGCTGAGTGTTAAAGTCATTTCTACATGGGGAGCACAGAAAAGGAATTTCTGCTCCAAGCATCCTTTCAAGAATGCTTAAATATTTGAATATAAATTCCTTTGTGCTTGTGATCACTTCGCCTTATAGCTGACACTCCACTTTTCCCCCTTCCCTTCTGCTACTCTTCTATGTGAAATGCCATAAACATGCTCTGTCCCTCTCTCTCAATACCCAGTGCCCTTATTCTTCTAAAAGAGGTTTTATGTACTGCCAGACACCTATTACACTGACCTCTTTTTTCTCCCCCTTCCTCTCAGGAGAGTGCATGAAATTGGAGCCATTTCTACATCATTTACACCCATGCTAGGCTGGTGAAAAAGTACAGTAGTGACAGACTCACATGTACATTTAACATTCATTATCCGGTCTGCTGGCTTCTCACAGCTTATTGATCAAACTCCATCTAAAAACCACGGAAACTGGAAAGCTATCCAAATTAGCAATCTGCTCGTTCTGGACAATATTGTTTGACTCACAAGCTTCCCAGGATGACTGACTTTCAAGTTATTGCTAAGTAGCTGATCATTTTTATTCTATCTGTCTGCCTATCTGAATGAGTTACATGGGGATCTCGGAATGAAAGAGCCACCAGAACTGGGGATCCGATAAAATTTCGTTTTCACCAAATGCAATAATATTTCATCTTGATTATTTTGTAGCATTAAAACAGTTTTGTGTGGAGAAATATTTGGGAAAAAATCATGGAAAATATATTGTAAAAACATGAATTTGTGAAGCACCCAACAACTTTTGCACATCTCTGTCTTGGGTAGCATAACTGACTTCATCTCAATGTAAACGTGGCCAGGAAGGGAGCAGTGGGCCTAAGTACCCCTTCAGCAAGGGGCAGGGCAGCAGAAAGTAGTCACAGGCATTTCCTGAAAAAAGCAGGAAGTCGTGGAACCTGTGACTCTTGTAACCCCCATGACAAAACGACTGTGCTAGATACAATATATATAAGTGTTCCCTGAGAGGAAAATATTACCTTAGTTGACAATTTTGCTTATTACAGCTTAGCAGGTAAAATTAGAATAATGCAGGGCCCCCTCAATTCCAACGCGTCTAAGGTCTACTGAAAGTATTTGGTGCAGTTCGTATTGTCAATTCTCTGTTTTTTCAGTTTTGCTAAGTCATCTAACATGACTTGACAGTTCTATGTTGCAATGGTCACGAAACATCATATATGACAACCTCATAAAGCTAAATACCCAGAAGCTGAGCCCGAGTATCAGCAAAGCTTATGTTCCTAAAGAAGCTTGCATATTTGCAAATCCAGCTCATGTCACAAAAACATGTAAGCATTTCCATAAAGCAAGATTTTCACTCAGACCCAGATATTTCAAAGATCACCTAGTCATAATACATATTGACAGCCTGGAACAGAGAATTAGTGGTCTCTAAAGTTTTCATAAGGACTTTAACTATGTTTTAGGCTCTATTGTCTCCGTGTCTGTGTGGGGCTGTTTTTCGTTTGTTTGTTTGTTTGTTTTTTGACAGAAGCAGATATTCTAAAAGGAAGGAGGGAGACAGAGCAGGGAAGAGAGGAAGAGAAAGGAGAGGGAGAAGGAGATTGTGTGTGTGTGTCTGTAATGCCTGACCACGAGGAAAATATGATCACCCAAGTGACTATCAGAAAAGGGCGTCTCAGGAACTGACCTTTTCTGTCCTGCAGTTATTGAGACCCAGACTATTCACAACAGCCACCTTCCCATCAAGCACCTGTTGTTCCCTCCGAAGTTGCTCCTTCATCTGTCGGGCCTCCTGGATTGCCTTGGTAACAGCATCGTGGTCATTTAAATAACCTGACGACGTGATAGAAGAAAGAATATCTTAAAAAGAAAGGAAGAAAGAAAGGAAAGTTACGAGAAAACATTTTCGCTTTTGTCAGTGAAACTCATCAGTGCTTTCCTTGGGCACTTAGTTAAATGAGAAAGAGACAGAGACAATGAACAGACCCATAAACCTGTCTGTGCTTGGAAATTATGCTGCTCTTATGATAGAGCCACCTGGGTATAAACCATGAGAAACATTAGTACCGATAGCATCACTCTGATACTTGATTCCATTAGTTTCAATGTTTACCCAACATTATAGAGATTGGCCTTGTGGCCTGTATACAGCAGGATGTAACTTGATAGGGGACGTGGGAGGCCTTGATCATGCAAGCAATCCAAAACTATTAAAAATAGACCATTTTTTCCTTCCCTTTCTTAAAACTTGTGAATACATTAAAATAAACCACAGGTGGCGGTGGTTTGCTATAGATACAAGGCGCATAATGGCTGGGAAAAGAAACTTCCGCCGTTGAATGCTCCCCACCACCACCTGTCATTCAGAAATGTATAAGAAACCGCAGCTACATGGACCTATGTTCCCACTCTATTCATGTTGCTGATAGTAGGTCAGATGTCTACACCATTTGGCTGTGAATTCACTGCCTAGGGTTCAGCACTAGTAGTAGCTGAATTATTTCATTTTAAAATGTTACAATCATCACCAGCACAGCTAATGCTATTTAATTTTAAATGTGATACTCTGTCATTTTTTTTCCTTTAGCGTACTGTAGATTATACTTATTATGATCTGCATGTGATTTGTAGGATGGAATACTGATGGAAGACTCCAAGCCCCGGTCTATTTTTCAAACATTATAGGAGAAGCTAGTATCTATCTCTCCTCCCCACCCACCCCCCTCCACACACACACTTCTTTCTGTCTTTTAACTAGGGCATAAAAAAGGCATAAAATGAATCTGTAATATGAAATTGCCCAGAAAAGGGACTTCTGTTTGTGACATGAGGCTAAATCTAACCAGATCCATTGGTGAATTGTGACAGATGGAGGGACTGTGAGACAGAAGGCAAGCACTAATCACACACAAAATGACCGGCTTGCCTCAACATGTTCCATGGATTCCAGCAAACTTTACACCCTAATCCATTTTTAGAACAAAAAACATCTGGGCCATAAATCCTCTAATCTGCCAAAACACGCTATTAAATCCCATGATTTGTTGAAAAACACTAAGATTAAAGAAAGGAAATATAAAATGGCTAACTGCCGTGTTAGGAAAGTGTTATTAATACTCTTTCTTTGTCTCAATTATGAATGTTCTGTTCCTAAAGAGCCTTGTCTAATCATGTCAGATTACACATCCTTGTTGTATTGCTAGACTCTTCTATCTGATCCACTGATTGCCAAAAAACGTAGAACATTGTCTTGCTGCTTAAAACATTTCAGTGGAAGAAGCTGATGTCAGATTAGTTCAGTGCTGCACTGCTGTGCCCTCATTCCGTCCCCCTCCCCCAATGAACCTGGCATTCTGGTCTCCTTTGGAGAATTGAAAGCAAAAGTTTCTGTACAGTCTGGGTGTAGGGGGAGCAGATCAACAAATACCTTTCAGTTAGGTATCTGAAAACACTGGCAGTTTTACATAAAATTAATTTGATCCACATAACTTATTTTTACCAAATGACCTGGCTCAGTGATTTCAGGGCAATGACAGCTTTCAGGGCAATGACAGTGCTAGGAAGGATGTAATCCACACCTCCTAAATGGTATCATAGGGTGGTTTTTTTTGGGGTGGGGAGGGTGGTCCCCATTTTAGCAAGTCGCTTGGTTCTTTCCCCACCTTGCATCTGTTCTTGATCAAGTTTGCACTTGGTCAGAATAAATTAAAAAGCAAACAAAAAAACAGTGACATTTAAAAACAGCAGTGCTCTTGATTAGGGTGGGTATAATAGTTATAATCTGTATTATAGCTGAATTTGCCTAAGAATTGGAATTCATGCCCTTCTCCAGACCATTTTTTTTTTTCCTGACTACCACTCTCTTTGAGAAGATTTGGCACACGTCAGTGAATAAAAGCAAGCACTCCTTATGTTTTTCAATAGCTGCCAATATGCTGGAATGCAGAGAAAAGATTAATATAGATACAAGTCGAATGTAAATTATTTTTGTTTAGGGTACATGGTGAATTATTGACAGAGAGATACTAAATGCACTTAGTTACAGGGATTGCCAAACCAGTATCTAGATGTTGGAGACAACGGGGAGGGGGAAGGGGGGACTTGTTTTTGTTTTTAATAGGTAGACATATGTCTGTTTCTGAAAAGAAATCCCTTGATTTAAAGTTGTATGTGAAATCATGACACGTGTGACTCCTCAAGTTATAGCATGATTTACAGGCAGTGTGGATGTATCTAACCAAAGGACCACATACCATATGTGCCACTTCACCAGCTACATGCTCTACATTATTTCTGATATAAAGGTGCATGCTCCCCTTGACCAGATACAACTGAACAATATTGTGAGCACAGTGAAAATAAACAGTCTGAAGGATGGATTTTAAAAGGTGGTTTTAAAGTGAATTTAGTGGTGGGAAAGGTGCCAGCCTATTTGAATTCCAGGACAATGGGCCTAAGCCCACCTAGGTCAGAAGGCCCACCGTCTCGTGGACAGCCCTGGAGACCAAAGTCCTCTTTTTATCCAGAGATCAGAGACAGCATGGTTAATGGCCTTGCAAGGTTACCACCAGTGTGCTTCAGCCCTGTGCTGGAGCGACCTACCTCTCAAAGTAAGAAGATAGTTCAGTCTACCTAGTCCATTCAGTACTTGGTCTTTTTGCTTAAAGGGACAACAAGGTTGTCAATTGTGGTGGTTTTATGTCATGTGCAAACTTCTGCTGTGGGCTTGACTGAGCTAAACAACTCATTTTGTTAAGGTCAACAAAGAGTTTATACATGGTAATGGCTTTTGCTTACTACAACGGTGGCTGGCTGTGAACTAGTTACTTAGCAGTAAAAGGCTCCACATACCATTACCAAGCCTCTGAATCATCCAGTCCCCCATAAAGGACAGATTTTTGATAGGAGCAGCCTGTGTCTGTCCAGTTCTTGTGCCGCATTTAAAGACAGCTTATCTTGTACAGTACACACAATGATACTGTTCAGCTAGCAACCTCAAAAAGTCACTTTCTGTATTTGTAGCTAGGAGATATAAAGCAGTGAACTCTATGTCATTAACAATAACTTAAGTATGTTATCTTTTGCTCCACAGTTTTCCATGGTTTATTAATGGTATAACACATTAATTCTTCTTACAAGAGTGACCTTTAAAGCTCCATTCATCCTCGCAGCTTTTATCCAATTACATTATCACTCATTACAGGTACAGTGTTTCAAAATCTGCATTTTGTTAAAAGGAGAAAAGTAAATTGTAGGGATCTCAAATCTATGGAAAATACCAGGGGTGGAGGAGGAGGAGAACAAGAGACAGTCTGCCACTGAGAGGCAGGTCAGATTCTTAACTCTATGCTTAGAGCTGCTGTTCACTCTCCTCAGGACAAAGGTTTTAAAGTGAAAAAAAAAAAAAAGAAAACTCAGCCCACTGTACACAGAGAGCAGCAGGGCCAAACAGATTAAAGATGCAAATACATTACTAACCTAGCAAGTTAAATAGTGTAGTTTTAATAAGAATAATACATAATAAGCCATGAATTAACAATGGGATATTTATGAAACATTTATGGAGTTTTATAGAATGTCATGCTGGATAAAGTAATTTCCCTTTTCACCCTGGCCATAGACGTATGTTCTCTATTTGGTGCATGTAATCATAACTCCCATCAGCCTGCACACTGGGACCCACATATAGGGATTTTAAACTTGGGGCATAAGTGTGGGTCTTACTGGTGTATGTACAGCTGGAATATGCTGCACAGTGTCTCAAATAGTTTCAATGCATTGCAATGGAAAAATCATAGGAACAGCCAAACTGGATCAGACCTATGGTCTATTCAGTCCAGTATCCTGTCTCCAAAAGTGGCCAGTACTAGCTGCTTCAGAGGAAGGTGCAAGAAACCCCGCAATAAGCAACTGTAGGATAATCTGCGCCCCTCCATGCCCCACCCCAGGAAGGTCTCAACCTAATCCCAAATAGTTAGTGATTAATTTACACCCTGAAATCACAATTCAAGTTACAGTAGAACCTCAGAGTTATGAACACCTCGGGAATAGAGGTTGTTTGTAACTCTGACATGTTTGTAACTGCACAGAATGTTATGGTTGTTCTTTCAAAAGCTTACAACTGAACATTGACTTAATACAGCTTTGAAATGTTACTAAGCAGAAGAAAAATGCTGCTTTCCCTTTATTTTTTAGTAGTTTACATTTAACACAGTACTGTACTGTATTTGCTTTTCTTTTTTGGTCTCTGCTGCTGCTTGATTGTGTACTTCTGGTTTCAAATGAGGCGTGTAGTTGACTAGTCAGTTTGTAACTGGTGTTCGTAACTCTGAGGTTGTACTGTATATTCAATCACTTTGTACAGTAGATTGGAAAAGATTATCATTACAATGGGGTGTGTCTGCATGTTATTTATACATATACATTACACATAAGGACCTGGCACGCACGTGGGGGCACACATCCCGCCCCCCCTTTTAATATAAAGCACTTGTGAAATACAAAGTGTCAGAACACCAGAACCATTTATTGTTTAAATGGTCGCAAGGGAGGCAGTTTTGGAGGGAGGGAGGAATAATAATATATTACAGAACAATACTAAAAGCAGCTAGCCTGACTATTTTCAAGATAAAATGTAAAGTATGTTTTGAAATGTACCTGGTGACTTTTTAGTTAGCCATTAATATTACTCCTGGTAGATTAAGCTAAAATAATGCCCCACAAAGCTTTTCAGTGGACTATGCATCAAACCTGTAATTTTCTAAGGAACTGTATGCACATGTAGACATGTAACTGCTAGGGATTTTTTTAAAGCTTATTCATCAGTTGTTTATACTTTTAAATGGCGAATGTCTGAATCACTGTAATACAGTGGTAGCTACAGAACAATCATTTATTAATTGTTATCATATAGAATTATCTGAAATAACACACTTTTTCCCATGCTGAATGTGAAGAGTTAAGATCCCAATTATGCACTACTGAGATCACTGAGCGCTTTTCCACTGACTTCAATGAATGCAATATTAGGCCCCACCTTCGATTTATCATATGCCATTGTGTGGCATTGGTTGGCAAATGCTGATTTTTTTTTTTTTTTTAATGCTGACCTCTGTGCTACATCAACAAAACCAAAAGAAAACAAACATACCTATTGTGTTAACTCTGGCCGAAGGACTGGCTAATGTTGCTGGCACTGAGGATTTGAGTGAACTGGCCCCACTGTTTATTCTCAGAGCTGGCATATGAGGAGAAGTGGGCGATGTCGGAGATTTTCCCTCAGACGTCTTGGATTTAGCTGAGAGGTTCAGCGGCTGGGCCACTTCATCCTACGAGCACAAGATAAAGCATGTCATAAAGATGCTGCTGCCGCTGCCATACTTGAACCCAAACACATAGTCACGTTCCATTCATGTGAAGTTGCAAACGAGTAATCCTAAAAATGCATCATGCAATGTTTCCTATGATGCCATCGTGTTATGTCAGCTGAGAATCAAAATGCCCCATGAACTGGAGAATTAGAGAACATTCTTTATTTGCACAGTGTACGTAAGAATTTCCCCCAAAGTTGCATCTACATGATACATAGTTATACAATCCAAACAGAAGTCCATTGACAATAATATTTTGTGTAATTTTTTAAAACTTGAAATGGGTGGAAAAAATAAAAATTAATCACAACTGTCATCTAAAATTCAATCCAAACCCAAACTTACTTGTAGTTCTAAAACTTGGGTAAACTTGTGTGAGTAAATGTGTTAATTTTGTATTTCTATTTTTATTTTCCTCTGAACTCCCTGGTTTTCACAAGTACCGAAGTACCACAAGCAATCTCTTTCATGGGTATTTTTACTCAGTCAGAACCAGAAAGTCTGTTTTTGTGCTAGTTCCAGCTTCCAAATCTCCATCAGAGATTTGCATAATTTAGAATAAGCATCTAAGCTTTTGGATGTTTATAGGAAAGTTTAACGGTTCACTAATAATTACCATGGTTCTGTACATTGAAAACATGGGCCAAATTCATAAAGAGAGTTCAACAAACAGTGAAATCAACAGGAGTTGGCTTTGTTCACACACACACACACACACACACACACACACACACACAGAGAGAGAGAGAGCAAGAGCAATAAACAATCCTGAACAATACATTAGTCACACGTTTCGGTTTGACTCTAACGAAAAGCAAAAGAAGGATCAGAGAAGCCCCTTTCTGTCCCTGTAGAAGAGATACAATAGTAAACCCTTTTTAAAAAATTACTTTTTAATATCCAGAAATGGTATCTATGTTTTTGGACCATTCTGCCACATACTTATCTGCAACTTGTGTGTCTGCTACTATCATATCATGCCAAAGCAAGATGTGTTAAAGATGTCCTTGCAGAGCTAAACTTTCTTCTGCAACTTGTGAATTAAGAAGCCCATCCTTTAACTGATGGAAGTAATATTTTTGCATGAGCTCTATTACAGATATAGTAGGGTTGATTCTGGTTTCCCTTCGTAAGTTTTACATTCCAGAAAGTCCATTTGCTCCTATGAAATTACTCCCGACTGACACCAGTGTGAGATCAGAATCAAGCCCATAATGTAGGATTGGTAAATGGAGAGCAAACTCCACTGGAATTTTTCCCTGTTACTGTTGGAGTATCTGAAGCTACTGTAATACTAATTCTGGTCCAAAGAATGCAGTATTCTGCAGAAAGCAAGGAATTTTCCAGTGGTCTATACTGCATACGGAAACATGTTATATAAATATGAATGTCTTCATCATCATACTTGTAATTCTGCAAAGTTATGCCACCTTTCAGTTATCTCAAACAGGCAAGCTTCTGAGTTAAGTGTCTTTATTATATTTGAATGTATTTGATTACTTTTATACTTTCGTAATCATCATAGTTAAAAATGAATTAAAGCAGGATAAACAAAATGATCAGGGAAATAAAGGACAAAAATGTCATCTTTAAAGTGATAGTTAAGTTCTCCTAGATACTTCCTGTGAAGACTAATAAAGAATAATAAAGAATAAAAATCAGCAGGCAAAATTTTCAAAAGTGCCAAAGTGATTTAAGAGCCTAAATCCCATTTTCATGAAATGTGCCAGACTAATATCCCTGGAGACCAAAGTCCTCTATTTAGCACAGATCACCAGAAGCAATGCAAACTTCCCCACCAACTTTTATCAGCTCCCTTCCAGAGAGGTCAGTTTCCATGTACATTCAATTCTTGACCTCTATAATAAGTGCCAAAAAAGGGGTTGATTAGTTCCAGATATGGTGATGAGCTCTGCGAAAAAATGTCTGTCCACTGGAAACCTGACTGAGACCACCACCTCACTTCATATAGGCCACCAAACAGTCATCAGATGGGAATGGCTTTCACTGACCATAAAGACTTAGGCTAGATTCAAACCTACGTTTTAGAGGTGAGGGCTCCATACCCTCTCCCTTTATAATGAATCTTTGGGCTATCCAGTCCCACTGAGCTTCACTTCCTTTCCTTCTTTTCTTCTCTCTCTCTTTTCCCTGCCTCCCTCACTCCCATCCTCCCGCGCCCCCTTTTTTTTCTGGTGTGAAGTGCAAGGCTTTCAGTTAGCTCACTAAGCAATTTTTTTTTTATGTCTCATTTAATGCAAGTTGGAAATGGAGGTGGCAGTCTTTCTGTCTGAGTTACCCCACCATGGAGATGTCTGTGCTGTAACTATTCGTGGTGCTAAGAATGCTCTTCTTCATTCAAATCAGCACAGCTTTCTCTGGAGCCAAGAAGTGTAAGGCCTTGTGGAAATAATAGAAGTCGACAGTTCCAGAGCTGATAAATGTCATTCCAAATTGCCCCTTCATTCACTTTCATTGTGTGTTCAGGCTAATGGTAAATTAATTGGAGGTCACACAAGCTTGCTTTTTATACAGGAGAATGAGTGGACTATTCTGAGCTATTACACGTATTTACAACATGATGTTACTTTACCGTTCAGAGTTTATAATATTTTACCTCTCTTATTTCAAAAGGCCCTATCAAACCCACATTTGGACTGAAATGCCATTTAAAATCTGGTCTGAGAGTTTAAAAGTTCTGAGTCAGATCCTTAGGATCTGGTATAAAAAAATGTTTTGGGATTTGGTTATAATGTACAATTGTTTTGAACATGAAGATCAACAATAGAACCTTTGCTCAATATGTGATGGAACACTTTATCCTTTCCTTACTTGCAGATATACGTTTAAATTCTCTGGATCAGAGATTCTACTCTCAACTTTCCCAGTTTAAATTGGGAAGAGCTGCATTTACTTCATTATTGATTTACACCTGTGTAACTGAGAGGAGAATTTGGCATTTTGCCTCCTTACCATTATTTATAACCAATACAGTTGCAGCTAGTGTGTTGCCATCTTAAAGTCTAGCAGGCCTGATTTTCATTTATACCAAGGGCACTTTACACCACTCTGGCAGTGTAAAAGGCCCTTGTGTAAATAAAAATCAGATCCAACATGATCAGTCCAGGTAGACAGTGCCTTTAAGGGGGGACAGAGATTTTTTTAGGTGGATCACAGAGTCAGCACATATACTTTCCACACTTACTTTTATTAGAGGAAATCCAACATTCATTGGTCCCTGCCTCCTCCCCCTCCCCCCCAACACACACATATGCAGAGTTATTCTAAGATACCAATGATAAGAACAGGCCAATTTTTTTTCCTGAAGAGTTAACAAAGTCAAACATTTATTTATATAATCAGCCCAAACGATTAATGCTTAAAACAGAAGACATTAAGACCTAAAAGTCTTGTAATAATATAAACACAGATGTGATGAAAGTGAAATATGATCTCGATTAAAGGTTAGGAAATGTTTCCTTTAAAAAGTGGCATATTTGGCTAACAAAACAAAACAAAAAATTAAGAAATAAATGTGGAGAGCAAAGCAGAAGCAAAAACATACCCCCTAAGGCTGCTAAAAAGAAGTATATGCAGCAGAACCAATGCATTGTAATGGAGATTTCAGTCCCTTATGCCATGATAATATCAGCACAGGATTCTTTCAAACAGCCTTAGTCATTTGCTTTCCTTTGTTGAAAGATCATCATAAACTATACCAGAGATGGACCCAAAACCTCATTAACTTTGGGACTGTAGGGAGGTCAGATCCTAGATCTGATCTAAGTTTTTACAGCTGGTTCCTAGTCCTATAATGGACAAAACCAAAACTCCAGATCTGAATCCTCCTGAACTCTTTTTTTTCTTTTTTGGGGGGGGGAAGGGGGTATGGGATTGAGGGGTAGGGAGGAGGAGAAGGAGGGGGTAGAGGAGATGAGGGGAGATCAGAGAATTCAAGATCCAAAATCTGAATTTTATATCTTGGAATCACCTGGATTTGTAGAACTTTAAGCTTTCTCACTGAAGTATCATGTATCATGTAAAACAAAGCCTTCTATCTGAGGATTTCTAAGTGTCTTATAAACATAAATATAAACAAGCCAAAACACTCCTGGATGGGTTAGGTGTGTATTGCACCCATTTTATAGATGTTTGTATTGTTCTTCGTAAATGTAAAGTGCTAAATACAGTGTTATTAATACAGATAGGGAAAATGAGGCAGACAGAGACTAAGTGATTTTCCCAAGGTCATGCTGTAAATCAGTGGCAGAGCCTGGAGTAAACCCTAGAATCCTGACTCCCAAGTCACTAATATTGTCCCACCAAATAACTGATTGAAATTATGTTTTCTTTAATGTCTCTATGGGCCAGATCCTGAGGTCTCTACTCAGTCCTTACTCAGGCAAAAACCCCATGAAACCAACTGGATTTTTGCCCGAGTAGGAATTTTAGCAGAGACAGCAATACCCTACCCAGAGTCCCTCTGTCTGAGTTAATAAAAAATCATGCCACTTCATATGGTGGGAACTGAATGAATGAGGGCTGACCCGGCTGAGTGGACCAGTCTCAGGGAGGGAAAATAAAAAAAATAAAAAAATCGGGTACATCCATTTGGATTTTAATAATCTAGCTTCTTTTCACATATTTTATATATTAGTTTGGTATTAAAATACAGTTATTGAAACACTGTGTTGTAGTATAAGCCCAAGCACTTCATCCCTCAACAGTACAAACTGAAGGTCCAGGTTGCGCAGTTTATTACAAAATCATGAACTGCACTGTGCATCATCTGACTGGCAATACAAATGTGCTCAAATGACCTGGCATAAGCACAGCCTAGTGTGTTCTACTAAAGAGGCTTTTCATGACCTCTGGGAACACATTCACCACATATTGCTGCCTATCTAAATGACCTTGACGGTACAAATTACAGCCAAACGAGTTAGGAACACAGAGCC